TGACGAGGCTCAAGAGCAGCATGTTCACGACTTGATCCTTCGCCGTAGTTCTCATCACCAACAGCCACCCAGTTGACTCCTTTGGACTTGTAGTATCGTGCTGTCTCGGGAACTGTACCAAACTGGTCGGTAAGCTGATTGCGAACCTTAAAACCACATTGAAGGATGCACATGCAAAAAAAAAATTCTAAGCTCACCTTGTTCATCTCGCCATTTTCAGCATTCGTGGCAGTGAGGAAAAGATTATTGGAGATATTATCTAGATGACCTCTGTATTTAAGCCATGGTCCAGCAGCAGAAATGTGATCAGTTGTGCACTTTCCTTTGACCTTGATCAAAATAACCATATCTTCTAGATCTTTGCCATCCCATTTGCTGAACGGTTGTAGAAGTTGGAGACGTTGGGAACTAGGATCGACTTCTACCTTAAATAAGTGCAATTCCAAAAAAAAATTAGCTTTACCGGAAAAACGAACGTACTTCTCCTGTCCCGGATGGAGCCTGATAAGTATCCTCACCAGGATCGTATCCCTTAGCAGGGAGAGCTACTCCACTTGGTGGCTTTAGTGTAAATTTAGTTCCTGTAAAGCAAAGTAGAATATCTCTTCCGCAAAAAAAAAAAGATGAAGAGATCATATTCACTCACCGTCAGGAGCAGTAATTTTGTCCTTTCGAGGGTCGAAATCAAGTGTTCCGGCGATAGCCATTGCAGTGACAATATCTGGTGAGGTAACGAATCCGTGAGTTGCTGGATTAGCATCATTTCTACCCGTGAAGTTCCGATTATACGACGTTACTATCGTATTCTTTTCTCCCATCTGGATATCTTGACGATCCCATTGTCCTGCAAAAAAATACGAACTACAAAACTCTAACGAGATTCTGTATCATGAGCAATGTGCCATTTTCATTTCTGTGCATTTTGAGTTCAAAACAAACCAATGCAAGGTCCACAGGCGTTCGCAAGTACGTCTCCTCCAAAATCTTGGAAGATCTTCGTAAGGCCATCTCTCTCGATTGTTGCTCGCACCTGTTCTGACCCAGGTGTTACGAGGAAATATGACTTCGCTTTCATTCCGTGGTCAATTGCCTGCAACACAAAATTATGAGACTGAAAAAGGTCAAACGAACGAAATTGAACTGAGTGAAATTCTGTTTTTGTTGATATCTCAAGTACGTTCATAAAATGCTTCGGGGCTATTTCGTTGGGCCCTCCTTAACTCAACTTTTATCTA